TATACTTGTGAGTAATTAAGAAAATATAAATTAAATGATTAAATGTTATTTGCACCTACCTGGTCAGAATAATTACAAAGCCTCACAAGAGGTAATAAAGATGCAGGAAAACAGGAATTTCTAATTTTGTATATGTTTGTGTTTTGTTTTGTTTTGGTACCAGGAATCAAACTCACAACCTTGTGTTTGCCAGGCAGGCGTTGTGCCACTGAGCTACATCCCGGTCTAGCATTTCTAACTTTCTAGGTGTCCAAATAGGGACCACCACTTGCAAAAGCAATCTGTCAGTCTGAGGAAGGTAAAGAAGAATATTCTTTGCTATCACGGTTTCCTCACGACAGCCTGCCCTGCTTTCTCCAGGGTGTTCTTTGTCTTGTTCTTCCCTCTTTTACTCAGCCCAAGCTCATCCTACAGAACCAGTTTCTCCCTCACTCTTCACTTTTGCTTTGTCGAGTAAACTTTGCCACTGCTTTTTGGCTCATTTTGTTCAGTTCTTTGTTCTAGATAAGAAGGGGAAAAAAGTATGTGTCCTACTAGTTAGCAATTCTAAGTGTTTACCCTAAGACATACATACATGTGCACAAAGATGCAGGCCTAAGCATGTTCACTGCCACAAAACTAATAACTAATCTTTCCTCAAAAGGCAAACAGAGAAGCAAAGTATGCTGTACTAGGTTACAGGTGAAATGAATGAACTAGCTTTACATTGTACCTATACAGCATGAATAAGTCTCCAAAATATACTGCTGAGTGAGGAGAATAAGTACAAAATGATGTGATTTATGTAAACCTTGAATCTGTATAAAATAGTAGTAAATGTTTTCTGGGATATCTAAGAATTTAGTGAAGTACAGAGTTGTGCATGAGAATAACACATTAATTTCTGACAGAAGTTCTTCCATGGAGGGAAAAAGGAGAAGTGATGCAGACGAAGGGGTCAGTGGCTTTAGTGGTATCTTTTTGCTTTAATTTTTTTATTAGTGATTTGAAGTACACATGGAAAAATGGTAGTAGTCAATCTGGATAAGTATATGGCTGTGTGTTTTACTTGCTCTACCTCTCTCTGTTTGAAATATCTCTTAATTTAAAAATTTAAATGTAGAATTTTTTTTTAAGTTTGGAATCAGAATTCAAGTCTTCTCCCCCTGAATGTTTTTCAAAGCAATAAACATTTGTGAACATCCCACAAGCCAGGTATAGAAGAACTACTTAGAGTTAAATTCATGACAAATTTGATATGTCCTACTAGGGAGAAAAGTAACAATTACTTCTTTTTCTTTTTAGTTCTGTTCAATGCCTACCACTGACAAAAACAGCTGCAGATTTAATTTGTCCTAAATACAAATGAAATGAGGAAAGACCCATGTGAAGGCTTTCCTGAGGGTCACATCCTCCCACAGGCCACACACCAAGTAGGTATCTCAAGAGCAAGTAGATGGTGGTCATAGATGCCAAAATGTCCCCGGGTGTTGGTGCCCACTCTTGCATATACAGCACAAGCTGAGACTGCTGTGATGGTAGACCATGTCATAGACCACAGATGGCTGGGCTCTTCTGCAAAGACCGTGTTCTTTCAGGCAGACTCTGGATGGGTGCTCTATTGGGACAGAAAGACGAAGAAAGGAGTATACAGTCTACATGTGGAGTAGGTGGGGTGTGAATCAGGGACACTATATGCCGCTGCTATGGTGTGGATCTTAAGTGTCCTCCAAAGACCCACATGTCAGTCTTTGTCTCAGCTTTGTGCTACTGGGAGGAGGCAGAAACCTTAAGAGGTGGGAACTAGTGGGACTTCTTCTGGTCTTTAGGGGTTTGCCTTTAAGAGAATTGTGGGATTCTAGTCTCTTCCCTGGCAGGAACGGAAGAGTTTGGTCACACATCTCCATCGGGATATGCTTCCTCATCACAGGGCCAAAGCAACGGAGCCAGTCAGTCAAGGACTGTGACCTCCAAAACTGTGAGCTAAAATAAAACGTTTCTTTATTAAATCAATTTATTTCAGGTGTAGAAGCAGGAAGTTAGTGTCACAAACATATACTGAAAGAACTGGGATGTGAAAGTAAAAGAGGGACTGATCAGAAGAGAGAAAGGGACAGAGTGGGGATGCAGCAAAGGGAGGGCAAATGTAATGAAAGCACAGTGGATTTCTTGGGATCAACAGAATTTGAGATGAGTCTTGCTTCTACTCTAGAGCATGTGAAAATCGGCCATTCAGGTCCCTTTCTGAAAGGTCATAGGCTCCATGGAAGTGACATAGGAATCTGTGAATTGGGCTGAAGCCACTACTGCATTCTTCTCTATTTTCCTTCACGCCCTGTGCCATAGTGGGGTTAGAATTGTACCCCAGCCTTCTTGATAACAGGTAGAATTCAGAGAGTAGAAGGAGGGGAGAGGGAGGGAGAGGGAGAGGAGGAGAGAAAGTTGAATGTAATAATTTAATTACTGGTGTTTCTCAATAAAGGCCTGAATTAAGAAATAGATATTTCAGCTAAAACCAGGCTGGTTGGGACAACAGCAAGCAGATAGCACTAAGATGCGGAGGCTACTTCATTCTGAGTCAAGATAACCACAGACTGAGCTGGGGATATGGCTCAGTGGCACAGAGACTGCCTGGCAGGCGCGAGGTCCTGAGTTCAATTCCTAGTACCAAAAAAACAAAAAGAGAGAGAGAGAGAGAGAGAGAACTACAGAATGAAATCAGGATGCTTGTCCCTCAGCATTTGTTACATGATTCTGGATGGGCTGAATAATGTCCTAAAGGGGACCTAGGTGCTAACCCCCAGTACCCATGTGTATAACCTTATGGCAAAAGAAACATCACAGGTGTCATTAAATGAAGGGTCTTGGGAAGAGGAGATCATTTCGGAATACTTGGATGGGCCCTAAATACAACCACAAACATCCTTTCAAAAGGAAGGCAAAAGGAGATTTGATGGAGTAGAACAAGGCCATGTCACCACTGTAGCAAATATCATGCTGCTAGCATTGGAAATAGAGGAAGGGGCCAAGGAATGCAAAAACTTCAGTTCTAGAAGCTTAGAAAGGGGAGGAACAGGATTCTTCCGCTAGAGCCTCCAGAAATGGCACATCCCAGCTGACGCGGTGATGTTGGTCCCGTGAAACTGATTTCAGACTTCTCACTTCCAGATTTCTGAGACAGCAAGTGCAAGTTTTTCTAAGCTACTAAGTCTAGTGTACTTTGTTACAACAGCCACAGGGAATAAATGCACATTTCTTTGGCTGCCTTGATTAAAGACACCTGCCAGGCGTTTGATGTGGACTTCCTGATGGAAGTGTCGCCATCAGATAACAAGAAGCAAGATTCTGGTCCCAAAGATGGCAAAAAAAAAAAAAAAAAAAAGGAAAGCATGTGTGTGTGTGTGTGCGCGCGTGCGCGTGCACGCACTGAGTCCAATTATCTGGGGAAAATATTCCAGAGCAAAGATTTTCAGGTAGGTGGTTTACTGGACAGTACTTTAGAGAATGATACCTGTGAAAGAGTTGGGAGGCAGGCCCGGCAGAGCACAAAGGTGCACTGTAGTGCAGTAGCACAGAGCACTCAGGCAGTCCCCCAGGGAGCTGCGAGGCTGCAGGGGCCTTCCCGCGATATCCAAATTGAGGGTAAGGGTCAATCTTTTGTACCCTACACTGAGCAGTCATCAGATACAGGCTGTTCCCAGGAAAGGAACTGTAATCCTGAGTGAGTCAGCAACCTTTGACCAAGGGCAATCCCTGGGGAGGGACTCACGATGGTCTACTAGCAGCCACATTCCTGGCATCTGAGAAGGCATGCGCCTAAGTCCTGAGGGGGTCAGAGTGGTGTACCACAGCATTTACTAAACCACGGGAGCACCCCTCAGGACAGTTATGCCTGATTAATTTTTTGGAGAAGAGACATAAGGAAGAGTTTATTATTAACTCTACTCTCAGACCATTCCCAAGCCTACATAGGTTTTTAGAAGTCTGCTGACAACAGCTCAGGGACACCTGGGGCAAAGCTGATGACATAACTATAAGTGGTTTGGGCTTGGACTGCAGTTTGAAAACAAACCTCCCCATAGACTATTTGGAAAGCCTTCTGAGAAAGCTCCTGAATGATTCTGTAGTCCTTGTTACATGAGTTAAGATTGCTTTGGCCTGGTTTTCTGGGACTCACATGGTGCCCTGCCTGATAAACTAAGCCATGTAGAAAGCCCGGGGAGCCCTAAGCCAAACCCTGTCCCCACCCATCACACCACACCAAGCACCGGCCAACACTCCAATGCTGCAGGCCTGAGGACAAAGCAGGGTGGAGGTTGATTTGCAGTGAACTGCACATGGGAGAAACCCACTGTCAGGGAAACAATCTTAAGCAAGCCACAGGCTCTTGATTTTAACCTGTGTTGCTCTAAAATCCTGCTAAAAGGCTTTACTACACCCATCTGCTTATATACTGGACTGAGTATAATTTAGTGATGCTTTAGTTATTTGAAACCTCCCAGGAACTCAGAGACAGTGTCACTCTGAACTGGGTGTGGCATCTGAAGGTCTAAGGTCTCATTCTACTTCTGACACCTATTACAAATATGAGCATGAACCAGGCAATCCCCTGTGAAACTACTTCCCTACCCTGTAACACGTGTCCAGTCTTCATGCCCGAGGAAGCTGTGGTCCCCTTCTACGTACGGAGGTTGCAGAGAATGACATGCATTTGCACAGATGCTGGCAACATTCTAGAAGCTATCTTGTTTGGAGAGAATTCCTGCCATCAGATCTCTTTCAAACGGATGAATACATGAATATATCATATTTATTTGCATTGGCTGCTTTTTCTCAATATCAGCAGTTCAATATTCCCTTGAATCACCAAAATAGATTCCTTTCATCAGTCTCTGAACTTTCCAGGGGCTTGTGCATGAGTGGCCACAGGATTTTTTCAAAGTGAAGCAGAATGCTAGAATAGAAAGCCTCCTTGCTTATTTGTCAGAATATTTGCATTGCAATTTGTGCCAACTCCTTACCTTGTGAGGCTGGCAAGCCACTTAATCCTATTGCGCTTCTGCTAGGGAGGCCAGTCAAGGTCAGCCCTGCCTACTTCGCCTGTAACTGTGTATATGAAAAGAAATGGAATTTTTAAGAGAACTCCAGAACCTGCTTATCAAAATGAAAGCGATTTGTTGTTAAGACTTTAACACCTTCACACCTATAAGCATTTGTTTGCATCAGTTGTATTTGTTTGGGGAAAAAGCTTCCCTTTTTGATGCAGAGGTTTTAGTCAAGATATAAACAGAGTGAGCGCAAAGATTTCTTGTGCCAGCATCCAAGTTTCCCAAGAGAATGTTTCCCAGCAGTACAAGTTGCTAAAATAGTTTGTAAGGTCATCTGCTCTTAGCAACTACAATTGATAGAGAAAGAACTAGCCCCACAGGTTTAATATGATAATGGGCCTTACAACTATAAGGGGTAGTCGCTCTTGCCACCTATGGTACCTCACACCCCTGCTTGTGCATTGGAAGGAACTGTTCTGTTTGCTCCCTCAGAGCATGCATTAGTAGCACAGCTTCTTCAGCTACAAGGATGACTGACTACAAAAGTGAGAGCAGTTGCAATTTTAAAAAGGCACAATCGTTAAGCCTTTCCTATCTGAGCCATACCACCTCCCCCTACCCACTCTGGGATTGGGGATTAAACCCAAGGATTTTTGTGCTGAGCTACATGCCCAGCCCATTCTGTCTTTACTTTTTAAGACTGGGTCTCACTAAGTTGCTAAATTGCCCACATTGGGCTGGAACTTGCAATACTCCTGCCTCAGCCTCTCAGAGTGTTGGTATTACAAGCACACACTATCATGTCTAGCCTACACTATGCAGTCTTATTCCTTCCAGATTGTAGTAAACACACAGAGCAATTCATCTATTTTCTTTTTCTTTCTCTTTTGGTACTGGGAAATGAACTCAGGACCTTGTGCTTGCCAGGCAGGCGCTGTGCCACTGAGCTATCTCCCCCGTCCTATTTTCTTTCCTAACTTGATCTTTCAGAAGAATCCAATACGTGAAAGACAGAAAAACCCACAAAAATTCTTACTCATTATTATTTCAATAAATGCATCGTGCTTCTGTACCTACATTTTTTTTAAAAAAAAATGTTGATTTCAACTTCTGTTCTATAGATAATTAAAAAAAAAATCATAGCTAGTAATTGACAGCTGCTTTTTTACTCTCCTTGCTGTGAGCTTAGAAGTTCTTAAAACGCAGTGAAGGAAATGCAAACTTCCGAAATTAGAACGGCTTACAAAAGCTTTGCTTTTATTTACCTTTTATTTACGTATGCACTGAGTCACCATTTTCCTCTTTTCACTCAGGAAATTCTGACGATCAGCACTCTTGCGTGGATGGGAACAAGCACTGCAAGGCTGGAGGGGCCGGGTGAGGGGTGGCTAAATCGTCAGGAACCGGCAGGTGGCCACCCACACCACGCGGGTGGGGCCTGTTGTTATGGAAACGAGAGTCCTCCGGGAGCACACAGGTAGGGCAACAGAGGGCAGACAGAAAGCTCTGGAACCACGCCATAGAATTCGGCACAGTCTGACAGGCAGCCTTGTGCACAGTGCAAGTGGGCATGACAGCTGAGCGCAAAAGCGATGCCAAAGTTCTGCTCAGGGCTGAAGCCCTCCTTCTTTGCTCCAGGCAGATGTCAGCTGGCAGTAGCGCTGCCCTCTCCTCCCCGAGACAGAGCCTTGCAGGTGCTTGTAATTACCAAGTCAAGTAAGGGTTAAGTCTTCTGGGCCTTTCAACCGCCCTGGTGTTGGTTCCCTGTGGGTTCCCATTTCTCTACAGCCAGTTACCTAGAGTCTCATATCATGTTAGGTGAAACGTGGATCCCCCGAGTTGCTCTTCTTCGCGCTCTGAATCTCTTGTGCATACGCAGGCTCCACAGAGTAACACAAATACCTGTACGACCTAGACACATTCTCACGCCGGCATGCCCTCCTACACTCACTCACACAGGCCCTCCCTGACAGAGAGTCACATTTCTCCAGTCAGCAGAGGTTTATACTTCAGAGGACGGAGAGAAAATAGAGATTACCTATGATTTTAAGCATTAGGCCCGGCAGACAAATGGATATTTAACCTGAAATAGAGTGGCTGCCAGGCTCACAGGAATTTGGGTTTGAAGTAATGAAGCTCAGTTTTTTTAAATTTTTTTTTTTTTTAACAACAGGTGGGAGACATTGGTCAGGGTTATTTGTTTTTAGCTTCCCTGAGATTTTCATTGGTTTTTGTTTTTTGGTTTTTTGTTTTTCTCAAAAAAAGCCCTTCCAGCAAGCCTGAGGGTGACACTTTCTTTACTTGCCAGTTTTTCCAGGATCCCCGAGAGAAATGTGCAGCGCCCCAGATGGGAATGAGAAGAATCAGAGTGGCCCCACTGAAGGTGGACCTCTCCCTGCTTCACGCCCCTGCACAGGAGTTTTGACCTCAATTGTCAGCGAGACTCTGCCAGCCCAGCCTCCTCCTGTTAGAAGTACCTAGTGTGAGGTCTTGTTATGTTATGCTTTGTTTTGTTTTGCAGTACATACCGGAGATTAAACCCAGGGCCTTGCGCTGCAACTTAGCTACAGCCCCAGCCCCTGGTAGTGTTCTTTAACCCAAGAATTGATAAAGACTGCAAAACAGGGTAGTAGAGAATGATTGAGTCCAACTATGAAATGAGAATTATGTACAGTTTGTTACAAAGTTAACCTTACATAATAAAGTTCTGGAATCAATTCCCATACCCTTTTACCACATTGGTCAATAGGCAAATGTCTCTCTGGTCCTGTTCTGATCTTTGTTCTTTTCTCTGTCTTGGTTCTCACATATTTGTTGCTTTCCTCTGTGTCTCTTGCCGTCTGAGTTCTGAACCAGTTTGTGCTGGTGGAGCAGAGCTACTGGTATGTGCTGACCCTAATCACGTACCTTCTCTGGAGCATGGAGGAAAACTCACTTCCCGACCTTCTAGGCAGCAGAACCATTGATTGAGCACTCACCAATGGAATACACACACTGTGATCAATGCCACATCCATGACTGCAAGGGGCAGCAGGGACTCCTGTTGTCCTCCTCCATCCAACTACAGCTGACTGTGACACAGGTGAGAAGTAAACTTTTGTTGTGTCGCTTTAATGAGAGCTGGGGGGTAGTCTGTTATGACGCTCAGAATAAACCCTCTCTTACATAACAGTTGAAAAACCAGTTTCATAGAATTCTTGGTTTCTTTGCTATGACTCAAAGTTTAGATTTTGAGTGAATTTCCATTGGGTGTAAACCCAGCATTGCTTTCATCTACTATGCTGCTTATTGTTGGGTGTCCTCAGAAATTCTTTTTTCTTGTATTCAATGCTGGATGTCTGTTTTGTTCTGTGCTACTCTGTGTTACTTTGCATAGGGGAGTATCTTGAATAATTCATTTTGATATACATCATGGAAAAATTCTTCCCCATAAAACAAAATTTACCCCCAGGTCATCCCTGAGTAGCAGTATCAAAGCATCCACAAACCAAATCTCCACACCCAGTAGGGTCAGGAACAGTTCAGTTATTTTTGAGAACTAGAAGGAAAAGATGATAGAGATCAGCGGAAAGTGCATAGGATTAGATTGTTGCCCTGGATTTCAATCCGGGCTCTTCTGAGAACTGGCCAGATGATTTTGGACAAGTTGCCGCTTCTTTTGGCTTCTGTTTCTCTGTTTCTTCAATATGCAGATATTACTTTCTCTGGTTAATGTAATAGTGTTGTTTAGTTGTTATAGGAAAAAATGGTTAATGTAGCAGAAACATGGGAAGTTATAGTGGGGAAAATGTAATGAATTATTTCAAGAAAACTCACTAAAAATCATAGAGTTATAAGTTCCAGACTTATCAGACATCAGAAAGATGTCTGAATTTTGAAAAGGGATACTTTTCTTGGATTTACTTTACAGTTTTCCAACCTTACTACACATACAAAAGTGTGGAGCCATGGTCTCCGAGTGGAAATCATATCATTGGTTTCCTGGTTAACTTACCAGGTTAGAGGCCTTGAACTGCATTCTGAATATCGAATCAACATTATTGAAGTCACATTTGCCTATGTTGAAAAGTATTAAAACTGTAGATAGACAATTCTGTGTCTTTCTCCAGTGAGCAGGTAGGTGTGAGAAATAGCACATATGGGAAAACACTCCTTGTTTGAAACTGCAAAAGATTCAAAACACCTAGATTTGTACCCTAGGGAACTGGCCAAGTCAGTTGTAGAAATCCATGCAGTGGCAAAGTATGTAGCTGTGAGTTCTGGGTCTCTGATAATCTGATACCAAACATTCCTTAAGAAATTTCATTAAGTTAAAAAGGTAAATTACAAGAGAATATGTAAAATATGATACCACTGTGTCAAAATTTTTAAAAATTTATTTGCTTATGAATGCGTAAAATATGTCTGGATGAATACCAAAATTCTGGTATTACTGTTTGTATCTGGAGTAGAAAATGGATTAGCAAGGGAAAGGGGTATAGAGCAGCTATTTATATTTTCTAAGTTTAAAATCATGTGACCATATTAACTATTCAAAACAAAGCAAAAACCAAACCAAAACCATGACTATATCTAGTTCACTTTTAACCTTTATTTCTTATAGTGAAATATACATAACATAAAATTTACTATTGTAACTATTGTGAGCACAGGGTTTGGTAGCACTGAATACATTTGTGTTATTGTGGAGCTATCAGCACCATCTATCCACCTCTGCAACTCTTAAATCCAGTTTCTTTCTGATTCAGAGCTGTTGCACATTTCCAAAGAGGGCAGGAAACTGGTACTTCTTCCCCAAGAGGGTAAAGTATCAGTGGAACATTTCTGATGGCATCTGGATCTTTGTTCCCCTTTCCATGGGCAGGTGAATGACTAAACTAATTGATTTGGCAGGACTGAAGTTCAGCTTTTTGTAGTTTTCTCTTTCATAGTGTCCTGTCTAGGGACACATACATTTCCTGCTCCTCTAACCAGAGAACATACTTTGGCAGATCCTGCCCTTGTACAGAAAAGCTGCAGTTAAAGTAAAGTGAGGAGAATTTGGGAAGAAGCAATAGGAAGCTCCTTTGGATGTTGCTCAGAAAGGTACAGTTTAATTTGCTGAAGACCGATTTTCAATTCTGTCTTCCAAAAAAGGACTGGATGCAGTGCTCCATGGAAATGAGGTACAGCCCAGGTCAAAGGCAGCTGATCATAATCAGCCCTGAGGCATAGATCTAGCCTCCTCAGCAGGCCAGGAGAACAGTTATGCTCTGCAAACATAAGTGCTAGGGAACAAGCTGTGTAGCTAATGATTAAGGTTGGACCCAGTCTCCTTGTGGAAAAAGAAGGGCTCCTGATTCCCAGCCACTGTGAGCTAGGAGGAAAGGGCTAGAGACAAAGTGCTGCTAGAACAGACCTTTATATTGTATTCTGACCACTAATTACTCTAGACAAGGGCTGGTATTTCTTTAATAATGTAATCATCAATTTGATTGGCTTGGGAGCCACTCAGGGAGTTGGTTTGGGCACACTTCTGGGTGTGTCTGGGTTGGTCATGGAGGCCAGACCTTGGGTACTTTGTATGATCTCTGGCCCATTTTCCTCTCTGGTAATGTTCTTCCGGTCTATTTCCCAGCCGCCATGAACTGAGAAGCTTTGCTCTGCTATGCCCTTCTATCATGATCTTTTGCCTTGGAGCCAGATTACAATCACCCGAAATTGTGAGACAAAGTAAACCTCTCCTTCTTTAAGTTGTGGTTGTCAGGTATTATATCCAGCAGTGGGAAATCTGACTAATACAGGAAACTGATACCTGGGAAGTGGAGTGCTTGCAGACTATACCTGACCATACGATTTAGAAGCCTCTGGAACTGTCTTAAAGGAGAAGTTTGGACCGATTTAGAGATGCTGGCTCATGAAGTCTTAAAATACAGTTAGTAGAACCTGATGGGTGATTCTGGTTGGAACTCAGAAGACCAGAATGCTGATAGAAATACAGATAGTAAAGGCCAGGCTCTGGAGGTTTCAGTTGGGAATAAGAACTCCGTTGGCAGTTGGACTAAAAGCTATGTGTGTTACACTCTGGCAGAAAATTTGTCTATATTGTGCCCATGTCCTTAGACTTTGCAGAAGACTGATATTAAGTAATGAATCTGGCAAGGGAAATTTTAAAACAACTCAACATTCATGCTGTGGCATGGATACCACTGGCTGTTTTTAGCCAGGTTATGATGGGGGGGGTTATTTCTTGGGTTTATATGACAGTGTTTAAGTTGATGTCGCCGGTACAAAAGCTGATATTTTTGCCTCCAAATTTTTGTGTAAGTTTTCAACAACTGCATGTTCAGAGGATGAATAGAGGAATGTCTTATAATGACCTGTTTAAATTTCACCCATCTTTATTAAATTACCCATTTATGACTTTTGCTACCAGCTGCACTTATAGGGTCTCTCTCAGGTATTTCAGAAAATCCTCTCTAACAGGATTCATGTCTAATTATAGCGTAGTTACCATGTTCCTGGCACCTTCTCACAGTCTTCAGGAGATCAAGGAACTGTGCAGAGTTTTCACCACTAGACTCAGGAAAGGGGTCTGTACTGCTCTTCACCACTAGGAACAAACATGTCCTGGACTAGCTGTTCTTTTGCCTCCATGTGCTAAATTCGGGGTGAAAATCTGGATTGAAATTGACTCAAGGATTGAGGCAGTACAGGAAGAGAACCACAAAGCTTGGTTTCACTTAAGTTACAGGGGAACTCAGTGCCTTGCAATTGCTTCAGTGGTGACTGGCCTGCAGAAAAGGCTTTCATGCCTGCTGCTGGCAGCACCCAAATCACGACCAGGCCCACAGAAAGAAAAGGAATCTCTCGTCCTTGCTAACCTGGGGCCTACCTTCTCACCTCTTCTTTCCTGTGATAGGTTCTACTTCTCCCTGGGTGATTGACAGTGTTGATAGTCATTTCTTTCAATAGGAACACCACCCTCCATCTGCAGAGATTCTCAGGATAGGAAATTACCCCCTCTGTGCCCTACCAAGCAGCCACATCATAACACAATCATCTAATAATGGTCATCTTTAGGCTACTCAGTCTTCAGTAATGTTGTAGGATACCAGCAGTTTAATCCCAACGAAATCCTTCCCAACCCAAACCAGACCCTTGTTAAGATAAAGCTACCGTGCACATACCATTCCCCATCTTTTCATCTCCTGGCCTCCTGAACTAGAACACAGCTATTCAGCCAGAACACATGCACTTACCATTGGGTGAATGGGCGTAGGAAAACTTTCTAAGGGAAGCATAACGGCAGAGGTGCGGCTCTGTCTGCACTATCAACAACTCATCCCATTATCTCACAGCGGAACCTGGCTCCTTGGAGCTAATATCATCTTCATTTTAGAAAGCTACATTTATTTCACATTCTTAATATCGAATCATTCAGGCATTTGCCTCCCAAAATGGAAGTCTGTACATTTTGAATTTAAATTTCAATAGTTCAAATGACTGAAACTACTTGTAGTTTTAAATTTTCTGTGTCTTCTCCCAAAATATACAGGTCTTCTCCCAAAAAGTTTACAATCTGTAGCAAAGAGAAATTATGTTTTACTTTTCCTACCCCAAACTTCACATTTCTTTTCTCACCTCAAACCTCTAATACTCCTCTTGTTTCTCATCCCTGATGGTCAAAATAGCCATTCTATGATTTTGAACTCTGCTCGTGTTTTATCAAGAAAATAGATGTGACCAGGTGAAGACTAGGTTCTCGACATGCGACCTATCTGCCGGCCTGCACCTGTAACTGTGTTCGCTCCCTGCCTTCTGTTCTTGCTCGTACTAAGGGCAAATGCTTCCATCTGGACCTTGAATTGCTCTGTCGTTATCCCCATTCTTTCCTATATCCTTGTTTTTTTCTCCACTGGCTCATTCCCATGTTAAGCAAATAAATATGCTTAGCACTACACGTTAAAAAACAAAACCAAATGTACCCTGTGACCCTTCCCTCCTCCAGTGACCACTGCCTTTCCCTCCCCGCTTCACAGCCATGCCTTTAAGAGGGCGTCTTCTGTGCGCTGGCCTTGCTTGCTTAACATTCAGTC